CCCCAAAACCCCAAAACCCCAAAACCCCAAAACCCCAAAACCCCTCTTTTGACAGAATTCATTGAAAAAGTTTTTATTTAAAATTACTCAGTTTTGAAGGATCCTTGTTGAAATAAGAGTGCTCACTAGGAATCCTTATGTACTTTCGCTCAGCAAAGTTCTGGTTCTGTTCGTCAAGTTCCTCACCAATAGCATCACTGTGTAGCTTTATTCTATTTATGTTTGGTTTGATTGCTTCATATGCTTTATCTTTGTATTCATCATCTTTGGCATAAGCAAGCTCATTTCTTTGTATTTCATTTTGCTCTTTTGTCAGCTCATGGTTGACTACGGCTTCTTGGATCTTATCTTCAGTCCCTCTAGTATCAATAGCATAGTTATTAGCGTTCTTTGGTTTTCTTTTGAATCAGCTCTTGACATACCCCCAGAAGGACTCGTAATGATGTTAAACAAAATGAGCTTTCATCAAATTGTAACCAGTAATATTATACACAAGTCTACATCATGGCAACCACTGAAGCTTACGTTGGTGCTGCTCTTTGTCTTCGTGACCAAGTTGTCTGAGTTTAACTTCTTCGTGGGCCTTAATGACTGCAGCTCCACTTTTGAACACTTAACTGTTTGGCGCTGCTGCTGGAGGTATGTCGGCTGCTTTGAGAGTGGCCTACATCTGGCTTTCTTGGAAGTCTTTGCTTTGCTGTTGCCTGCTATCTCCTCTGGAGTTGTGGCTGCTGGAGACTTTGTGTTCAAGCCTGCTGATGCTCTTCTGCATTGCCCGGAATTTATGTTCGCACTTCAGAATGCCTTTATAGATTTTGCGTCTGAACATGAATGATGAGTAGAAGCTGATGAGAACACCGAAGCAGACTTCGAAGAGTTCGAAAATACCACCAAGAATTCCAGTGACTTTGAGGAAGTTGAGGACTCTTCTGCGATATTGGCCAATCAAACTGTTTTAAGAAATGTATAAATTCTACTTTGTTTAGACTTTTTGGGGTTTTGGGGTTTTGGGGTTTTGGGGTTTTGGGG